ACATGTGAGTATATCCTATAAGCATGCACATACTCAAACACACTCCCAGAATATAATTCTGCTCAAAATCCCAGGGCTAAACATAATTTGTTGCAATCAAATAACTGTATTGATTACCATGATCACTCTAGATTTAAATGGTCATTAATCCAGTTGTTCTTAAAAGCTATACAAATACTACTCTAATAGTTGGAATTTCCTGACAAGGAGATTCCTTTCAAGCAACCCAGAATTCAGTAACTTTATGGTATAACCATACTGCTACCAATGCACAATAGCTCTACATGTCATTTAAGATAGTTCTGGTCATGTACTGCAATGCTGTCACAGGATTAATACCTCCCATTTTGAAAGCAGAAGTGCTTTGTCTTGACTTTTTCTCCTCTGTCAAGGGAAACTAATACTCTGCAATCCAGTTCTATTCTGGACTATCCTTAAAAGCAGACTTTTTTTTTTAATTTAAATCTCCCATTAAGCACATTCTCAGTGTTGTTAAAACTGATGAATCGGTCCTACTAATATTGGGGAGGGGGATATTGTCTTGGTACATTCAATATTTGTTTGCCCTACAATACGCAAAGACCAACATTTCAGTGTAATAGAAGCTTCATCGAAGATACACTTGCACAAATAGGAAGCATCAAAACTGCGAGGGCTGCGGACCATCAGTATCAGGCTGATTAGCTTGTATTATTCTCCCCTTGCTCTTCTAAGTGATTCTGTTTACCTATTAACAAAAAGTTATACTTATCTCCAATTATTTTTGATTTGTAAGTCATCACCACTTAAGTCTGTTCAAGAACTACCTTCCCACCTCCGAGCATCCTTAGCAAATACGTGTTTTATATTCCTGTATTCTATACACTGAGAACAAAATGCCAAGGAGAGGTCTTTGAGTGTAAGCCAGCTGACCACTGCAGCCTCCCAGACCACTCCAGTTTCTGCAGGTCCCGAGGATACCGGGTCAGAAATACCATGCTTGCTTTCTGGGAAACCGAGCGAGACAGCAAAGTGCCCGTGCCTCCCTGCTTCCACCTTCCAACTCCTGCTCGAGGGCCATGAAAAGCCATGGGGAAAACACCAGAGAAAAGAGGAAAATGAAAGTACACAAATTCCTACATCCTCACAAAGTCACGCAGGCAACATTTAAACCACAGGCTATTTGAAAAACTATGTCGATATTTATTCTCTGGATTTTTGAAGCCTGTTCCCTCCCTTTGAACAGATAAACCATCCAGTTAAAATACTCACGCACTTCTCAAATCAAAATCATAGGTCAATACTGAAAAACTTGAGAACAATCTCACTAGTTATCACACAGGACTACACCGAACCCAACAATTTTCTTCTAGTACCAAGCAAATTTTAAACAAATAAAAAAAACCCCAATTCACACTACTAGTTTGATCTTAAACTGGAAAGTAAGAAAATTGTAATTTTTTTTGTTTTTTTGTTTTTATTTTTTTGTTTTTTACACAGAGCTTTTTAAAGCTCAGTCTGAAATGCTATCATACACATATGCCTCAAATTTTGCAAAACGCTTATCAGGTAGTACAAGGGTGATCCGACCTACACGTAGCCAACAAATACAAGCACCATCCAAAAAACAGGTAGTTAGGAAGTCTCCCAAAACAAACTGAACATGTGAAGTTATTTTCAAGTTATCAAAGCGATACCAGTAAATCCGAATTCTTATTTAATATTTCACAATTACTTGCTCAGCAATACTGGTAATTATTTTATTTCAATCAGAAGTTATTTGACAGAAGTAACCAACAACCTGCTGCCATTTTTACATTTAATCCCTACGCTGTTCTTGGGGGTTTTCTGCCTGCTTAAAAATATGTAAGGTCATTTGCAAAGGCTCCCTTTGGACATAAAAGAATAAATCCCTGATGTCTGGAAAAACATTCAAGACTAAAAAAAAAAAAAGTAAAATTGATAGCTCTTTTTAACATCAGTCATTACACACACTACATTTCTAAATAAACCTGACTATGTGTGCCCTGGTTCACAAAACAAAACCAGATGTTTCAGATCAAGAAATTTAGAGGCTGTTTTATAATTAAGAAGAAGTAAAAATACAGGCATCACTGGTTGCTTCCAAGGGATGAAGTTCTGGCAGAGAAAGACAGCAGCAGGCTTAGAAGTACAAAGGTGAAACTACAGTGATTTCCCATTTATATAACTGCACAGGCTGCATTAGAAAGCTAATTTATAGCTACATGCCTTTTTTTTTTTTTTTAATGGGAAGGACCTGATACACCACTGTGCACTTTCACCTGTTCAGACCTTCAACTGGTAGCAAACTACATTTCCCTTACCTACCCATTGTTTCCCTTACCTACCCATTGTTTCCCTGGTGACTTTTTAAAGGAAGCAAACATACGCAATGAAAAATGAATGTCAAAAAAAAATATTAAGAGACTGACTTACAGGGGGCTTCTCAAAATAATATTACAGGTTCTGAGGCCACAGATAACAAGCAGGGGTAAGATTCAGCTAAAATGAAGTTACTCAGTAAATGGTAACTGTGTACTTGAGGATATATCCTCTTATTCACAAACGCAAATGAACAAGATCAGTTGCAGTAACTGGTATTCCATTATATTTGTTTGGATATGCCTAAGAATAATTTCATAGTTAACTGACTAGCAATCTCTGTACCACATGAAGTTAAAGAATCATCATAAATCAAACTTTGTGAAAGTAGGGTTTATTTTCTACAGAAATGGAATTTTTACATTGATTTCCATTATATACTATAAATATTAAGGGTACTTCTGCATTTTAAGAACAGCAAAGAGTTAAGAACTCAACAACAATACCATGAGATACTGATCCTACAGAAGGAACATACAGCAGAAAGCAAACCAGGAAATAACGAGTCAGTTCTTGACTACTCTGAGCCATACTTCATCTCACTTCTTAATTCAGAAGAGAGTAGCCTGTAACTAACCTTACTGAGTAAGGAAAACAGAGCTGAACTTGTGAGTTTTAAAGCCTAATTTTAAAAGCATTTTATTTAGTTCACATATACATCAAACAGCTCATTCCAGACTTTTGGCTAGAGTCTTCTGAACAATTTCACTCACTCCTGAAAGCTACTGTTTCCGAAAAAAAAAAAAAAAGGGGGGGGGGGGGGGGGGGGGGGGCGGCAAAAAGAAGACAAACCTGAATATTGAAATAAGCAGCTTACAACTGTAACGCGTGCCCAGGGAAGGCAGCACAGCCAAGTCGCACTCGCGGGTGGCTCTGAAGGCTCCCAGAGCTTTTTCCTCGCCCCCCATCCCCTCCCTTCAACCCCGCGCCCCAGCGAGCACACACCGAGCCGGCACAGTTCAGCGAAAAAGCTCTACCCTTAAGGGGGAAGAAACGTCGCCTTTTAACGAAAGCCTCCTTCCCCTCGGCGTTTGAAAGGCGGCAGATATAATTTTCTTTTTTTTTTTTTTTTTTCCTGAAGAAAAACTTTCCAGCGCGGCGCGGCCACCCGGAGCCCACCCGCGCCGGCCCCTCCCGCCACACCCAGCCTTCTAGCTTAGTTACTTCGAAGCGTTGCCTCACAAAGCTCCCTGAAAACTTTATTTTAAACAAATCAAAGGGGCGAAGCGGCCCGGGAGCGGCTGCCCGGCCCCGGCCGACACCCGGCCCGGTCCCGGCGGGCCCCTGAGGGGAGCCCGGCGCCACTTACGATCTCGGAGCGGCCGTCGCGGCAGGCGTTCTGGAAGCGGGCCTGCCTCTCCTCGTGGGGCCGGTCCCTGAAGCCGGTGTATTTAATCTGCGGAGAGCAGGGCGCGCAATCAGGAGGGGCCAATCCCGGCGATAAGGGGGCAGCGGAGTGCACAGACTGCGCCTCCCCGCGCCGCCGGGCTCGGCTCGGCTTTCCCCCCCCGCGACACACACACACACACACGCACACACCCCGCCGCGGCGGCGGCGAGGCGCGGGGCTCTCCGCGGAAACTTTCCCCGCGGAGGGAAGCGGGGTGGTGCGCTGTGCCTGGGGAGGTGGCGGTGGTGGTGGGGGGACGGGGCTCGCCGCCGCCTCACCTCGCACTCGCGGCTCAGCTTCCTGAAGAACTCCTCGTTCTCGAACTTGCTCCGCTGGTCGGGGACAACCCGCGGCATGGTGGTGGGGCCGCCGCCGCCGCCGGCTGCCCGCCCTCCCCGCGCTGTCCCAGCCCCAGCGCTCGCCTCGCCCTTTGTTAGCCCCCGCCGGCGGCGCCCCCCCCCCCCCTTCTCCTTCCCTCCCTCCTCCTCCTCCTCCTCCCTCTCCCTCCTCCCCCCGCCGCGCGCGCAGAGCAGCCGCCGCCCGCCCCCCCCCCCCCCCGCGCTTCCTCCCCGGCTCGTAAACTCCGGCCGAACAGCCGCACCATTCACAACTCCGCCGCCGCCGCCGCGCATGCGCCGCGGGAGCCTGCGCGCCTCCCTCAGAGGCGGGAAGCGAGGGGGGGGGGGGGGCGGTGTGAATCAGTGCGCCCCCCCCCCCAGCACGGTGGTGAGTCACCCCTCAGGGCTGAGGGGAGCGGGGTCACACACACACACACACACACACACACACACACACACACACACACACACACACCCCACGCTGTTCCCCCCTCCGTGTTAACGCGGCTCCGTCTCGATGGTTTCCGGCTTCCTGCTTTTGAGGGGGAGCAGCCTCAGCCTTGTCGCGGGCGGGGAGCGGCCGCCGCCGCCCCCACCCCTCCCCGCGCCGTTATCCCCTCACGGCGGGCTGCCCCCGCACCTGCTCCGAGGGTCTCTCCTCGGAGAAGGGAGAGGTGTGTGTGTGTGTGTGTGCTCCCGTCACGGTCAGCGGGGGCTGACCCCAACCCCAGCCCACGAGTGTCTAAAGGCTTAGCCCAGAGGATGGTCCCACAACGGTACACACACGCACACCACACACACGCACACACACACGCACACACACACACACGCACACCACACACACCCCCCCCAAAACGCGGCGATGGCGGGGCTGCACCGCTGCCCGGGAGCACCCACCGCTTCCGAGCGCGCTGCTCGGGTGGCTTGGAAATCTTGGTGTCGGCCTAAAAACCCAGCACTTCGGCTCACCGGCACTTAAAAAGTTCACTTACTCAGATGCTAAAAACAGCACCAAGCTTGAACTCTGGGTTCTTCACAAAGAGGCATTTTATAGGAGCTAATTCCATCAGGGAGCACAGCAGGACATACACCACCTGTCCCTAAACCCATTTTTTTTGTACATACCTTGATTATTTTCTCTTCTACAACCGCTTCCCCAGCTTTTTAGCAGCTCTGGAGCATCATAAGGATAGCTGCACATGCCAAAAAACAGTTGACTATTACGATACCTATTGCCAACATAAAAATATTAGAGCGTATTAGATCTTTTGATAAAGAAGTGAGGTTTTCTAATCTCTCAGTATTACAATCTTAACTTCACACGTACTCATGCAAATTGGAAGAGGGCAATGCTAAGGTTAGCCAGAAGGCATGATTTGAATCAAGTACGAGCAAATTAATAAAAAAAAAAAATGAGGGAAGTGTCTGTATCCCTTAACTAATTGTATAGGGACTTCATAAAAAAGATAAGTTTTTTTTTTTTTTCTAAATGTAGAATATTTTTTAAGAGAATTTTAATACATTTGCAAGCTGCAGATTTAGGCAGTAACTCCATATGTGTTTAAGCTGTGTCTTCCCATTTTTGGTACAGTGCTGTAATGCAGATACATGTGTAAATTCAGAAGTTAAAAGCACTGAAAGAATTGTTTTTAAAACTTTCTTCAGTAGTAACCAAATCTGAAAAGAAAATACACTGAGAATGAAAACATAAAAATGTTATATATTATCTTGATTCATTTAGATTAATACCAACCCTTAAGCAAAATTCTCATGAATGTCAGGCACCTTTAAAGGACCCCAAATAAGACATTTTTTAAAAAATCCATATCACTATTCATCTTACAGCAGGATCAATACCAAGTGGGTAGACCAGCAGGAGAACTGCCAAGTTCATAAGGTAAAAATCTGCTCTCTTAACCTCCAGTAATCTTTCACTACTTGCTAATACATTGCCCAGTTCCCACCTCCCCAACCCCCAAACTGACTGCGCCTCCTTCCAAATGACAATTTGCAAAAAAAAAAAAAAAAATAAAAATTACCAAGGTCAAAAGCAAGATGAGTGTTTGTAAAGCCCTAAAATAAGAAACAGGAGACACAACCACCTAGCAAGTTTGAGGTTTTGACCCTGACATATTTTTCAGGACTTTGGAAACAACATCAAGTTTGACTGCTTTTCTCCACACAGCTCTTCAACTTTTGTCATCCTGGAGTTTTCATCTTTCCACTGCAAAGTTTTTGTTTTAAGTGAGTCAATATTATCAGACAGTCTGTAACAGATCAGGCACTGCCTCTGTCTGTTACCTCAGTCTGGTGCAGAAACAGGAGAGCTGGAAGGGATGAGATGGAAAACAGTGGCACCATATTGTACCAGTCTGAATTTATTCAGTTTCGCTACACTAAGCTGACAAAAAAAAAAAAAAAAAAAAAAGGGGCATTTCTGCTCTGAAGAGTACCACCTTAGTGAAGGGAATCAATTCCTTTATATTGTAACAGGTATAACTGGGAGAAAAATATTTTAAGACTGTTTTCTCATCAAGGAAAGCTTATAAAATCGGACCAGCTCTTCCTCTCACTATCCTATGCAGCCCCCAACAAGGCAATTCATGTTTTAAAGAAGTTCGTCCTTTTTTTGTTCCTAGCTAGACAGAGGAGAGGCACAAAAATTAACGTCTTTCCTCCAACAAAGGCTAGAGCATAATTTTCACAGTTATTTACCCCGTTTGGCCAGAGTCGCTGGCCACCAGCCAGCCAGTCAACATAGATCAGAAGCAGCTTTGCAGGTGATAGCTGGGGGACATGAGAGGGAAAGCTGAGGTTACTGTGTTTGGAGATGGGATACAAACTCATGGGAATTCTGCAGCTCACCAAACAGTCTTTTTGCATTTAGCGCTGTATCATCTACACACCAAAACGAGCTAGAACCTTTTTCCTTGTGCATAACCAAATGCAACTGCTTCCCAAAGGTGTCTCAGAGCTATCCCCGCAAACCCTTTCAGTGTGATTCAGGCTGCTCAAACGTTAGCAGGCTTACCTTGGTCAGCAAATCCTTGGTCTGTTGATTCGCAAGAACTCAGGCTGTTCATCGGGCCTCTGGGTGAGTCACCTTCAGAAAATAGAAATGGTCAAGCTTGTAGGCATGCTGCTTTCAGAGCGATTTCTCAGAACAGACCCCTTTCCAAAATAAGATCTATCATGTTTACAGTGCATGGGTAACTGAGACAGAACACCACTCAAAAATTTACAGATGGGATATTTGAGAAAGGGAGCTTTCTCCAAGTGACAAGTCCTGTGTATACTGTTCTTTCTATAGCCCTTCTCTACCATGTCTTGAAAGCCTCTGGTTTCCCCTAAGTAGCAGTATTTGATGAACTGTGTGGCACCAACATTATATTGTTCTCTAGACTTTACGCATGTGAGATACTAGTAAGCAAGACTCCTGTGTATCCACTGATCTATGGCAGCTGCAGCATAATCAAACACCAGTGTTATGTATATACAAACTACTCTATGATTATAGATCCATTAATAAACCTTTTGCAAGATATAATTATGTACATTAGGCGTGAAATTCAATCTATTTACGCAAGGTCTAGGCTTATGGGTCCTACGAAATTCAGGGAGAGGGGGAGATATTGAGCAGATGAATTGACTTCTTTCCCCCAGATTAATATTTAGTTCCCTGCTACCACAACCTATGCTCCCTTCCAGAATATTCTCGCTCAAGTCATCCCACCAGTGGCACAAGGTATTGCTGATCGGTTCATGGACCCACCGTCACATGCAGAAACCAGCCTGAAATGCTCTAACTCACCTTCAGAGCAGCCTTTTGTGTCTAGCCTGCATACATCAGCATAAAGCTCTATCTTATCTCAGGACTCCCAAAACAACCCTAATGAGGGATATGGGCAATGCAGAGGGCCACGAGCTATCGGAGTCAATTCCCGTCTGTGGAAGCACTTGATGCAGAGGTGGATTCAGGTACTCTAAATGCAACAACATGCAGCTTTCAGGACTTGGCTAAGCCCGAAGCTGATACCTAAACATCTTACGTAGCACACAGAGATAAGAGCCATACCACAACAATTAAAGAAAATTATCTAATTTTGCATTCTGAGTGGGAAGCTGCCTACCAGTTAAAAAATGCTAAGCATGGCAGGTATGAGGGAGGAAGCAGCACCTAATGTCTCCCTTCTCTAAACCAGGCTACAAGACAGATGCATCTCTTCACTCCAGATACCAAAGCTGGAACGTTTTTCCTAAAAGAAGATGCCTGCAGGTGCTACTTGAAATAACCGAATGGGACTCTCCCTTATCAGAACATGATTCCTGCCTGCCTTTGTTGTTCCCAAGCGTTTGAAATACTCAGCCAGGACATAGGAGACACTTCCCGCACTGAAGCTGTTGAAGCCCAAATTCCAGGCCTCCCCAGGGAACACCCTAGTCACAACGACTCTTACACTGGAGTAGCTGCATTCACACCTCTGCTTCAACCTGGGTTACTACCACAGTGCAAAAGACCTAAGTCTTCATGGGCAGGCCTAAATAAAGAGCTAGTAAAACAACCATCCTTTCCCAGGCAGGTGATTTGAACACCCTGGGCTATTTCTGGTTTTGAGCACTGGCTGTTTAACAGAGTACTTCACAAAGAAATAGCCTTTGTTTCAGTAACATACATGTTCAGCATGTCTCTTAAAAGCATGGTCTGTACAGCCTGGACATCCACCTGAACACACTCTTCTGACACTTGCACGCCAGCAACTGATCAGAAGATGATCAGGGATGTGCAAGTATGGAGGTACAGTGTGATACCAGGTACAGGAGTCTGATGTAGCAAAGGCAGCCTCCAATTTTTGAGCTTGACAGAGTTTGAGGAAAACACAACATCATCATGAATTGAAAATCTGTTTAAATACTTTCAATTAACCAGGGGGATACAGATGTTTTTCTATAAACCAATATGAAATGAAACTTGAGAACATCAGAAACAGTTATTCCTCCAGTGATGCAACAGAGGCTGAACTACACAATTAGAGAACTAAAACAGATTATCCCAAAAGGCTCCTTGACTTTCATACCGGTTATTGGGAACAGTGATGATTCTGTGCTAGCTATACATGTTTTGGCAATGGAATTACGCAGCTTTTGTGTTAAAAACCCTTTTTTCATCTTACTAGTTGCAGCACAAACTGTGAAAAGAAACATTATCTGAACTCCAAAGTCTCCCTTGCCTGGCAAGCAGATGGCAGGACTGGGTGCCTCTTCCAGCCTTGCCTGGGGCCTGCTAAATGACTTTGGGCATATCGCTTCACCTCTCGTGCCTCAGTTCCCTCATCTATTAAATGACTCGAGATGTCCAGATGAAGCTCTTGAGATCCCTATGTAGAGAGCCAGGCACTATCTTTATCCTTGATGTTGAGCAATGAGGAGAAAGTTTAACTGAGCACCAGGCATGACTCACCCCTGCCTACATACATAAAAGGAAGTGTTTAAAAACTGCCTTGGTGAAATTAGTTCTGAAGATGCTGTTATCAGCATAGGGACAATGCTAATAGCACTCAACTGTATGTTGTTCAGGCATAGCTTTTTTCCATGTATTATCTGCTGCACTGCTATCATCCACACTGTCTCATTACATTGCATTTCTTAATCCATTAAGAACTTCTTCAAAACTACATGCATGGTTTTGGGAGGTGGCATGCTATATGGTAGAGAGCCTTTTAGACGTTTTAAAAAACATTATGCACAAGGTATAAAAGAGCTGGACAAGATCTGTGATCTTGTAGCTATTCTAGAAGTCCCTGCAGATTTTCAGATCTCAAGGGCTTCCAGGAATCAACATGAGGATGGACAATGCAGACTGTTTCAGTTCCTGAGGCCCAGCACAAGCCAGCTGTAGTACTCTGGCAGCTGAAGTGGGCACGAGGTTGCCCACATAGGATATCTGAGGTTTTCTTTCATCTGAAGGAATCAGGGTGACACTGAGTGGTCACGAGCAGAGACCCTGTCTAAGAAACGGCCAAAACACACGCGTGTGCTCTCATAGCCTCCACCAGCCAAATCTCTAGCTGATAAACTAGATGCAACATCATCTCTCTGGATTAATTAAATTTTCTCCTCTTCTGTTTCAAATCTCCAGGATTTTGGGGGTTGGGGTTTTCCCCCCCTCCTGTTATCATACGCAGCAGTCAGAAATTGGTTGACACAAGCTGAGTTGGTGCCCAATGTGTGAGGAGCTCGTGTGCAGGACAGCACAGCTACCTGGTCCTGCAGCCATCCCTCCCTGTTCCCACCTGAGCAGCACAGGGTACATTCAAATTCAAAGCATGGAACCCAAACACTCGTAGGGAAAGCTGTTCCTGGGTTGAATTTGAGATGATGGGGGAGAAAGCTAAACAGAGGGTGACTCAAAGCCCTGTTCTTGTTTCACATGTGAACGTTTATAACAGACTGTAACACAGCTTGTTCAGTGATACTTTTGATTATACTCAGTACAACTGCTAGAGGTGATTCAGTTTTGGTACAGATGTGTCCAAGTGACTCTTCAGATTCAAAAGAGACTATTCTTGTAAACTTTGAGCTATAACTCTCTTTTCTCATAGATCCAGTGGTAGAAAGCAACTGCATTTATGAAGCTCTTTTACCTTGTCTGTGGTCAAAGCCGAAATGAACTCCCAACTGTAATCAGGGATTTTGATATTTTTATTTCACTTGGGCAAAGTCTTAAACTTCACAGGAGAGGAGATTTGCCACAGGCACATCTTAGCTAAAAGTGTTTTGCTGATGAGAAACAAAGTGTATGTACAAAGAGATACCTCCTTCCAAAATTCCATATTTGTTTAGAAGAGTCAGACAATTCCAGAGGATTTGTCATCACAACTTAGTCTAATATTAATGACAACTTTGCTAATATCCCCTGTTCTACTTGTAGGAAGTTTTCCTGAAGGTACTGCAAGTTAAAGTTTTTCTACTGCCATTCAATCCTATTGGTCACTCACACTTTATCCACCTTTACATGCCCAATGTTTAATTTGCCTCATAAAAGGCAGCAAAATGTTGTCTTTCAAGCCATCAGATTATTCTACAAATCATGTTCTTCCTTACAGAATTAACTTTTTAAGGTGAAAGTCGCATTTCAGAACTGAGCAGAGTTCTGACATCTCATTACACACTAAACCCATCAAAAACTTACATTTTCATACACCTAACACAGCAGGCTGCCACATTGTATCATAACAAATTGATTGTCAGCTGTTTTGTTGTGCTTTCAGAGAAGTCAATGCTCTGCTTAGGTGAATGCTGAGGCTGAGAGGCAAAGTCATGAAACGTGTTGTCTAATCAAACATTCAAGGCTAGGAAGAGCTGCCACCATTTACAGATGATCACAGAGATGAAGGTTCTTGCCAAGGCCGATACTGGAAATTAACAATATTTAAATTTGCGTCTCAAACCAAGTTTGCAAAGAAATATTCCTCTTTATCAGCACATTCCAATCACAGGCAGGTTTGGAGCGCTCTAGCATAGGGGATGCCAGCTCCTGCTTTCATTATGGAGCTTGCAAAGTTAAAGAACACCTGGTGCTACCAAACTGTGCCTGCCTGATGTCAGCTCCAAGAAAGCAAAGAAAAGCCCATTTCTTGGGTGTGTACTGCTGAGGGAGCTGCCTTTTCACCTTCTTTTAATACAGTGCTGTATTGTTTTTGTTCGCATTGATCTTATCCTTTGAGAATTTGGAAGGGATTTCAAAGAGGCAGGGTGTTGATAGGAACCTTGTTTTCATGCTTCTCCTCTGTTGCTAGAACTATTTGTTTTTACTGACTAGGAATTAGGATGGCCTCAGTCCTCCACCTTGATCCAAACGGGCGTGCCCTGGGTCAGAATGAAGTCTCAGACTTTCCCTTGACTTCATAAGAGCACAAGAATTTCCCCGTGCAGATTTGATTGCATGTTCCAGGTTGAAGGGTGTATTTACAGCTACTCCTCTGCCTTTTTTATGTCCCAAGACAGATTCCTCAGCACACTTTACCATAGGATTTTCTTATTAGATGTGGATTTTCCCCTTCTCAAGTCTTTAGTGTTGTAATTTGCTGCATTTTTGTGCTATGC